CCCCCCCCCCCCAATTATCGCGTTTGGTTACGGCCCTGAGAATATTCATAAAATACGCGGGACCAGCAGCTGTGTGTAAACGATCAAAATTTAAAAACTACTGCTTTGGAAATATCTATAGCTCCATGGTTCTCTTCTATATCTTATACCAGGCCTATATATCGATCTTGGCTTCTTCATAGAATGGAATCCACTTGAGGTGATTAAATCATTAACTCTACTTACGGAGTCACGGAACTCGAGAAGGTGCATGTCTGACCACGCGTTTTCGTTTCTAGAACGATCGAGATCATAAGATTAGGGTTTTTTTTTAATTTTCAAGTTCTTAAAGATAAAGAGCTTTCACTTCTAACTACGCATTATTACGTATGTGACCACTTCGCGACCTTGTTTCCACAAGGTAACAGGTGTAAGAGTGTCGAAATATTCACGCAACTGAAACTGTACTGAAGACCGATTATTAAAGTCACACAAAACAAGACTGATCCAGAATATTTCATATGGGGCTTTATTTCCATGTCAAAAAAATAGTATTTTATATGTACATGCATAAATCGACGACATTTCATTTCAAGATTGCTGTCAGAATTGCAGTTGATTTACTTGGTAATGAGATTATGCCCTTCCATAGCCTCCTCCCCAGCCATCTTGTATTCAAGGTGACTTTTCCAGTTTATTTAATTCCAAGAAGAAATGTCTGAAAATTTATGTCTTCGATGTACTTTATAATCTTCGGAACTCTGCTAGATTTCACCTGCAAAATGCTTGAAATCGCAATTCGGGGAACCCAGATTTCAAAATTTTCACGGGGGTGCATGCCCCCGGACCCTCCTAGACGGTCACACGCCTTCGGCGTGAGGTTCGCCCCCCTCCCCCCAAAAAAATTAAGGTTTGGCTACGCCACTGGTTATAGCATGACAAAGAGTTGAACTTATTGTTTAAAATAAAATATAGCTGAAGTTAATACAAAATCTCTCTTCAGACTCGCGCGTTAGCCAAACCTCGACGGCTCATATTTTTCGTTCTGCCTTTTTTCCTGTTTTGCCCCCCCCCCCAGTGAAAATTCCTTAAAAAAGGCACTGCCCGAAAGTCGTGGGATTTCTCTGGGTGCTCCGGTTTCCTCCCACAGGGAAAGTTGACAGGGTGGGTTAGGATAAACACAGTTAAGAAAGTAATATCACAATTGTTGTAAAGATAAAATAGTCTAGGCTAAGAACTGGTCACCACGTTGATCCATCGTCTTGACTTAGAGCTCAAACTTTTGTATTGTTTCGCGAGCATTTTGTTTAAAATATGTTAAAATGAACTACTAAATGATCGAACGAAACACTTTCACTAGGTACTCCAGTTTCCTGCCACAGGGATTGTTGACAGTGTTGGTTGGGATTAGCTGCGGCCAGGGGCGTCGCTTGCCCTATTTTTTCTTGGGGAGGGGGGGGGCATTTCTACAACGTGAACACAAATTTTTGTCGGCAATTCTTGTCGAATTCGTTTCCGGATAGGCGTTCAAAACTGTTTTCTGTTCCGCAGCGGCTGTAAGCCTGTAACTGAATTTTTTCTGGACACTGAATATTTTTCCTTCTTTGCCGACGTTTCCAAAACACATGTCGTTCTGGGTAGAAGTTAGTCGAGTTTTCAAACGTTTTATATTCATTTATTTTATTTTCATTCCTTCCTATTCAATTCATGTTTTGACGACTGGGGTAAGACTATTTGCATGCCCCCCCCCCCCATCTCGTTTCCGGAGCCTTCGATCCTCGGGAACTAGAACGTGAGGCTCTGGAATAATCCGTTTCAGGGAGGAATCTGATTGGCCGTTGATATGGAATGCGCAGTTCGGTCTTAGCCAGGATTCCTGGCTTCGGGCAACGGATTATCCCAGAGCCTCGTGTTCCTTCCCGAGGATCGCTTGGGGAACGAGATTGGTCCCCCCTCCAGCATAAAGCCTCGTCAGCCGAAATACAACATTTTAATTAGAACTAAAAATACGCGGAGTGATTATAACTAGAGAATGGCTAGTGATTTATATCATTATATGTGGTTTCCGGGTATTATAAACTGCATGGCCGTTGAGAAAGATCGTGAGCGACTCTATAGTTTACGACCATATGGAAAACCAGGCTAAAAAATCATTCACGAAAAACACTTCACGACACGCCGTCCGCGACAGTAGAACTATAAGGAAACCAGGCAGGTTTAAGAAAGCTTTCGACTCGATCAGGTATTCAGGTTGTTGAGCTGAGCCCTTCGCAATTCCGCTTAATAGCTCTCAGGTTCAAGTAACTGAAGTAAGCCCGGATGAAACGAGGATGAGAGTGCAGTCACCGCGACCTTGGTTAATAGCTGTTCTTAATGTCAACCTGGAGCTTGAAATGTCCTCTGTAACAATTCGTTAGTACCAACTCTCATCGGATGATTTAGCACCCCCACCACCCCCTCCTATTATTAAAATTTTGCTATTTATTCTTATTGTAAAACGAGACTGTTCCAAAGAGGTCAATACATGCAATACGTCGCAAGAATACAGTAGTTATGCCAAAATTTGTCAGAAAAGTATGGCTGAGCACGAATTTAAGAGCTAGTGTAACAAATTTTACATCTGGATTGAATAGACGGATTTGGCCATAGTTTATAGAATAGATGGTTTGGAAACTCATTAGAATAACAATATAACTCATTATCTATGTTAGTCAACGTTTATTAATAAATATGTTCCTTCACCGTCACGTATGTATTGTATTTTTGCCAAATCAACCAATAGCAATTTCCAATTTACCCTATTGTTCAAGTTACGGATAGGTAACTTTCCTAAAACATTGCTATTGGTTAGTTGGGCAAAAATACAATACACACGTGACGCTGAAGGACCATATATTTATGAATAAACGTTGACTCACATAGATAATGAGTTATATTGTTATTCTGATGAGTTTCCAAACCAGATATTCTATTAACTATGATTTGGCTAACGCTATTTTCATCAGTGCCATCACAATTCACAAAGTTTAGATAACTCGCATGCTTAGTTACTATTGTTCTGAAATCTAGCATAAAGACTCTTATTTTTTGTTCTAAAGTCTTCCTTATTGTTTGATGAGGTCAAGCTATTTATATATCTTTAATAATACAGTTCCCACGCGCACTGCACGCAAACTGCCCGAATATTTAATATAAACATAATTACGTTGGTATATTGTATTCAAATTAATCCACCTACTCAAATATTCACCAATAAAGTGAGTTGGTTGGGGGCGGAAGAGGAACATTGAATATACTCGGTTTTAAACTAGTTTGAATACGAATATTTCTCGTTTGGCGTAGTCGACGACTAGTCGTCATAAGAGCACGCACTTTTCATCTCTGAGTTCGATTCTCGCTAACGACTCACATGAAGAGTCAATCAACACTCTGCCGAAAGTCGTGGGCAGTCTTCCCACAGGGAAAGTTGATAGGGTGGGCTAAGATAAACACAGTTAGAGAAAGTAATATCACAATTGTTGTAAAGATA